CCCCCCCCCCCCCCCCCGCCATGTGTGCCGTAACAATCTTAGCAATCTATTGGAGATTTTTATTTCTTATTTCATAGATTTAATGCCCATTCCCAATTGCCTTGAACTGAGTGACATACTAGACTATTTCAGGGGGCAGTTAAGTTTTATACCACACGGTGATCGTTCTAGAGACATTGGAGACCAGATCAGGTAAGGATGGTAGATTTCCTTTCCAAAAGGACTTTAGTGAACCAGATAGATTTTTAAGACATTTGATGATGGTTTCCTAGCACACTGAGGTGAGTTTTCAATCTCGGAAAAAGGTTTTATTAAAATGTTGAATTTATGATTTAAAGGAATTTAAATTCAACCAGTGTCATGGTGGCATTTGAATTTGTGTCCCCAGAACTTTAGGCCGGGCAGTTGGATTAATAGCCCATTGTCATGTATATTAGACATTTCCATTTCCTTTGGGCTTTTTCTCAGCTGTTTTCTGATTTGCTTTCTATTGCTGTTGTCAATATAGTTTGCACAATAGCTGTTAGTAATGGTAACACCGTGTGGAGCTGGAGGAACACAGCAGGCCAGGCAGCATCAGAGGAGCAGGAAAGTTGACATTTCTGATCAGGACCCTTCTTCAGAAATTTCTGCCTGGCCTGCTGCGTACTTCCAGCTCTACACTGTGTTATCTCTGACTCTAGCATCTGCAGTTCTTACTGCAGTAGTTTTCCATTTTTAGCTGTGGCAGCAAACAGTTTACTCTTTAGATAATGTTTCAATCTATAGAATACACATCCATGCTCACTAACCCCTAGCATACAGATGTATTGATCCATCATACTGCATAGATACGTGTTCGTGCACATTATGTTCACTCACGCATACATACAAACACTGTACACTTGTACAGCATGTATGCATCCAGCCACACATCCTACCAAGGGAGTCACCTATAAAGAGGACACCCAGAGAATAGACAAGATAATTAAAACTTGCAAATACCTTTATGATTGCAGATGAATTCAAGATTCCAAATACAGTACCCAAAAAATTGCTTCCTCAGAGTTTAAACAAGAGAAAACATGAGCTATAGACCTCTTAATGCAATGCTAAGGTAGTCAATTTATGTACAAAACTAATCCGTCAGCAACAATGCAATGGTGATCAAATAATCTGTTTCGGTGTAGTAGGTTGAGGGATAATTTCCAGATCATCAGGGAGGACTTGCCCTGCTTTTATTAGAATGAATCGTAGGATCTTTTGTCCACATATGAGAATAGACATGATATCCAATGTAATTTCTCATCTGACAATAGTGAAAATAGTAGTGAAATAAATTACCTGATTTAATTATCTATGACAAATGATAAATGTTGTCCATGACAATTCTTTGATAAGACATGCAAGGCTTTGTTTTAGTCAGAGGGATGACACCTCTCATGGTGCGGCCTCTCTTCGATACTACATTGAATTGTCAGCTGAAATTATGAAATGGGATTTAGCCCCATGATCGTTTGACTCGAAGGTCAGAGGACAATCTGTGAGCTAAGGTTTAACCTCTTTGAATCACCTATTTTAAACAAATAAAGGAGGCATAGGTAGATTCAAAACTAGGGTACCCACGATTATAACAAGATAACAAAGCAGATCCAGGCACTTTTAGGTAAATAACTATTGTAGTCTGATGTAACCTTTGAGGATCAATTGTACAACAATAACCCAGTAAACAACATCCAACACGGATTTCAACAGAGAAGATCCCATCTAAAAAGGTAAACAATTCTTTTGAGGAAATGCCAATCCAGTTCGACTTTTGTAAATTTTTTTTTAAAAAATTGATAAAATTCCATGTTTATTGAACACAAACCCACGAAGATTCTGGTCAGAACTTAACGGGCCCAGAAATTGTCGGAACTGTAAAAAATAGCTGGTTTGAAGGGTGCAATTCATGCAGATAATTTTTAATGTTCTCAGGCGCTGTTCCTGTTTACATCAATGACATAGCACAGTGCCAAGATAGGAAGGGCAATGAAGTAGGAGACAACCTGTAAGTCACAGATTGAACTGAACAAAATATGCAAGTGAGCCAAAAAAAGGGCAAATAAAATATTACACATGGGTGTTTGAATACATCCTAAGGATCAAGTTGAAAAGACATAGTTTTCCATGGACTCGATGTTCAAAATGGATTGTTCTACAGAGCCACATGGATGTGATGGGCTGAATGCCCTCCTGCTCTGCTATAATAATCCCATTTCCAATTTGGAAAGGCAATCAATAAGACAACGAAACCATGAAATCTATGGCCAAGGCTAATATCAAAAGTTGATTCTTTTTTGGAATGACCTCTTAGTAAGGTAGTGCAACTGAAGGTTAAAGTAAATCAGAAGAAGTAGTGATTAAGCTGTACCATCAGATTGTACCTTGATTGTTATGTTTCGTCTTGATTAGTAAGAAATGTGGGAGATATTCAGTGCATTGAATTGAATGCAGTGCAAAGGTGAGTCACACGGCCAATTATGATATTGGAATTATTTGGGTTGTGAGTTTTTAAATGTGGAAAAGACCTCTGGGAAATGTGTTTTTTTTTGAGTTATGTCGTACACTTAGGAATGGAAACGGTTAATCAGGAATGCAAAAGCAAAACATTGTGGATACTGGAAACTCAAAATGTAAGCAAAAAGTGCAGGAAAGACAATTAATGTTTCAGGCTGTTGGCCTTTTTTTCATAATTGGCCAATTCATTACAATTAGAATACACTTTCAGCTTCCTCACCTCTGTCTTTTGAAACATTCTCCCTGGCATTTCCCCATTTTTCAAGTGACCGCTTTTCATGAATGAATATTGACAGAGAACAGTGGTAGGCTATTCAACTGTGGAGTGTATTAAAGTCAGTGCTTATCCTATTCTCATCTAGAATTATACTAATAAGGCAGTAGTTATTCAATGGAGAGTAAACTTTGCCTTTATTACAGTGAAGATTAAGTAAAAGCTATGTACTGGGATGTGGTTGAAGGTGGCACATTTGGAGACTAGTTGTACCTCTGCTATAACTTAGCTGATATCAGCTACCAAGATGCAAACCAAGATCCAAACCTGGGAGCTCTGTCCATAAAACAGAATTTCTGTTGGGTACTAATTTAAAAGCCCAGTAATTTAAAATCTTCTTAACTGTTTACTTGCAAAGTATTCTAGCCTGCCTCTGAAATGACTAAATTAACAGATCTAGTAATAATTGCAGCAATATGTCTTTATTTATACATTTATTTTTAATGTTAGTAAAATGATCCAAGGTGTTTCCTTGGCAGTGTGTTGTTTAAAGGCGGGCGAGAGGAAGTAAGGAAAATGAGTTTAGAAAAGGGAGTTCTGTAGGGTGAGAACTAGAAAGCTGGAAGTTCTTTCGTTAATGAGGATGAGGAATAACAAAAAAATGGCAGCAAGAATTTGAAGGGAAAATAGTTCCTTGGAGAGAAAACGGTTTTAAAAATGAATAATACTTGGAAATGGGCGTACTGGTTATACTGGAACTCCGTTTTTAGGTATACAAGATGAATCTGAATAGTATATCATTCACCTATTTTACTGGTTTTTCCTTCTGGGTCTACTGTGCAAAATAATTGGAACATTCACCAAGGCAGGGAAGAGAAAGGCAGGAGAGATTTATAGGTAAGATTAGATTTTGATGAAGAAGAACTGAAGAATAAGAAGCTAATGCAGGGTAAGAAGTATTGGTATAATGGGAACCAGAATGCAGAAATGTTGATGAAATGGAATTTCTGACTGTGGAGCTTGATAGGGGACTGGTGAGGAGAACATTTGAAATATAAATTTGGGAGGTGACCAGGGTGTGGTTTCAGTGATAAAAGATGATGAAAGTGAAGTAGATTGCAGAATTAAGCTGTCACCTTTGTTATGTTGCATGGTTCCTTTAGGATTTGGCATGTAACTGCATGCAAGCACATCTTAAAGGAAATGTTAATTGTGCAAAGCCACTTTGTTCCCTGCATAACACATTCCCAATTGCTAAAGTATCATCTACCATGCAGTTTAGAAGCAGCACTGGGGGCTGGAATGTGAGCTTTGTAACTCACTTCTGCAATGTCAGTTAACAAATTGAGGTGTGGCGATATTAAGCATTCAGAGAAGGAGATGAAATCAATTCAAAGAAGGCAGATGAGTTTTGTGCAGAGATGGAATACAATTGCTAATGATCCCAGATACACTGTAGAATATCTTTACCCACTATGTCATCACTGATATTGTGACAAGATAAATCCTTAAAACAAATGAAATCATTCTAATACTCGATGATTTTCACTGTTGACCCCCTTAAATATTGCCCAAGCTTCCAAGTCAAGCTTATGAGTTGTACTCAAGGGTGAGTAAGCAGCTTCAGAATAGGAATGGAGAAAAATTAAATGCATTTATGTCATAGTCATTTAAGCATGGTCTTGTCATTTACCATATACAATTGGTGTCACTCATTTTAAGTTTACAGTAACCCCAAACATATTTCTTTAATATATTTTCATATATCATTTATCTGTAATATATATCCCTTATAAACTTTCTGAAAACTCATTGTTATTCATTTAATTATCTAATTGTTCTGTCAATAGGGCCCATTGAAGAAGTTTGCCATGATTCTTGGAGAGATGAAAAAGAAGTTTAGTCCAGAGAATGATCCGATTTGCACATACCTGGTGACGGCGAGAAGTGGCAACAAGCTGGGTATCCGAGCCATTAAAACTCTGCGTAGCTGGGGTCTCAAGATAGATGAAGCTTTCTTTATGGCAGGGAGTCCTAAAGGCCCACTTTTAGCTCACATCCAACCTCACATTTTCTTTGATGATAACGCACGTAATATCAAAGGAGCACGTGAATATGGAATCCCAGCAGCCTTTGTACCATGTTGCTGTGAATAGTTTAATATGACACTTTCCTTTTCATAAGGCAGTGGTGGAGATGTGGCCTAGCATTATAGGGTAGTTTTTTTGATTGCTCGCTGTAAAGGCAGAGCCTTGTTAGCTAGCCTTGTCACAGCCTGTAACTTTTTATTCATTAAAACCATGAGCTGTATATGCACAAATTGCTAATATGCACTTTCAACAGATGAGGGTCATCAGAAAAGGCGCACATTTGAAAAATTTACCCTAGTGTATTAAAGCCTTCCATCCCATTACAAATTAATTTTACTTGCTGAAGAGCACTTGTAAAATGTTGAGTTTTTCTTCACTCTTTGTTCCATTCCCAGCACTTGCAACTTCCACATTGTGATTACACAATTCTTAAAAATGTATTTTTTAGATCAAATCATAAGTGCTGTCATCAGAAAGCCACTGTCCTCATAAGTAGAATTAAACACAGAAATTTTAACATATTGAAGGTTATGATTTTCAACATGCTTTATGAACTTTTTTTGTTAGAACTTAAGGCCTTTTTTACCATCTAGATTTCCTGGAATTCCATTAGTTTGTTTCAAGTTTTCCTAAATTTAGGCAGCTGTATAGAGCTGTACCAAAGTGAATAGAAAGAGACCGTAACTCCCTAGACTGGAGCTTGGTATCAAATTCTTGATTGTCTGGCTAAATTGTTGTTTGTAATTCTGGCAATTTTGGGAGATATTTTAAATGATAGCCCATTAAAAATTTAGTCCAATTTCAAGGACACTTTAACTTCATGCGCTAGGGCATAACATGAGTTAAAATTGAGCAGCTCTTTTTTGAGCTTTGATCCCACACTTCAAAATGTTTTAATGCTGGGTGATTGCATGCTTCTTTATAATATGTTAATCAGGGTCCTATCCTTAAGATAGGACTAAGAGGTGATTTTAATAGTTCTTCGGCCAGACCAATGAAATCTATCCAATGCTCAGTGAAGGCCTCAAAGAAGGAAGTAAGGTATTTTTCTTTGTGGGAACAAGATAAGCAGCAATCTTCCCAAATCCCTCTGACCAGCTTGCCAATGTTACAGGAAAGCAACCGACCAACGAAATCTTAAATTCTTCCAGGCCTTCCATCAAACATGTTACTCCTCCAATTCTGATTTTCCACAGGGAGTTAAAGGCCGTACACTTCTATGCAGGTATTATCAGTAAGCCAGCACAAAGGGAAGAGATCCCACTGCTTGAAATGTGCTCCAATGTGGAGTTTTTTTTTAAAAAAACATCGAATAACGGTTGCTTATACAAAGAACAGTTCCTCCTCTGTGGAGTCCTGTATATGCTCCAATTTGCCAATAAATATTAAAGCTGGAGAATCTGGTGAGCAGTACCACATGTGAAACTCTATCAATTTTAGCTATGCTAACACAAAGATTGAATAGTGTTTGATTATAGGAAGGAACCCAGGCTTTGGTTTACATCATCCCACTGTGTGAGATTCACTGTTGCACTGCTGGATTACAGGTTGCACAGGGCGCTGCAATGGAGAACATTTTAAGAAGTTAACTGTATTAGGCTGAAAATATACATGGAACAGTCATTATTCGTCCTTTACGAGCTCTAATTGCTTCTGTATCAATCATGTGTTAGTATAGTTTGATATATTTATAATTTTGAAGCTGAAAGGAATTCTTTCAGGTTTCAGTTGTATTCAATTTATGTTTGTGATGCTGACCACCTGTGTGTAATTTTGAAAGGAGTGTTATTAATACTTGATAGCAATATAATGCCTTTGTGATCTCAGAGATGTATGGAATTCAAATTGGGTTGGCAGTAGAAACTGGAGCTAAGTTGTTACGTCTAGGAAATGAGCCATGGCTAGAGTCCAAATACATACAATACACTCATCCCACAGGTTACTTGCACTTCAACAGCATATATCTGTAGAGCAAGGTAGAGGAGACATGCAGCTTACCCTGCTATGAGTAGGTTCCGTATAGGCTTTGTGAAAATATGTATCGGAATATGAAATGAGCCTTATCCTGTATCTTCATCTGTGGATCTTTTAGCAGTTTATATCCTCCATTTATATATTTACAGATTACTGTTCTCCCCCTCCCATGATAGTTTGTGAGTTTGTGCTCTAGGGGACAAGACTGAATAGGTAGAGCAAGTGTTATACTTGATTCTGTTCTCTGTTGAATTAAGTGATCTAAACTGGGAGAGGAATGGAGATGCTATAGTTTGCCATAATACATCTGGATTAAGGAGGAAGATATTGGCTTGTGTTTTCCCCAATCACTATCTGGTGACTCTTCCAAAGAGTGCGTTGGCATTGGTTGTCAAGTGAAGATGATTTGAGTCCTCGTTGTATATCTGTGCCCATGCTGAACAGCTTAGCATTTGCCGGTAGGTTTGCATAGGGAGGATCGTTTGTTTCAGACATCAGAAGATTATTGTTATCAGTGCAATCAGCACAAGGAAAGCAAAACGTTAAGGACAGAGAAGGGAGGAGTGAATATCAATTGACCACCATAAATGGCAGTATTTCATTATTGTAGAAACTGTGCTGTCAATGAGGAACTGCGCTATCAGAGCACATCTGAAAGTGCAGTTGAATATTACAAAATTCCAAGTTGAAGCTTCAGAGTGAATTCTTAACAGTGCCATCACACATATTCCCTGCTGAATGATTTCAACTATTTTGTGTTAGAGAGAAAACTAGTGAACTGAGATTGATAAATTATTTTAATATGAAACCAAAGAGTTTTTTTTTGGATTTTCTTTAGCTGTAAAGATTTTTCAGTACATACAGAGAGCTGAAGACTCAACACTCTAGACTCCTGTTTACTTGGTGGAATATTGCAAGTTCATGTCTTGAGAGACTTTTTGTTATTGCTTATGCAAGTTAATGCCATTGATCTTAGAATTCTGAGTTCAAATGGTAGAAGGAAGGACAGTCGCACATGAAAAAGGCACCTTCTGTTGTTCAGAATTGAGAAAGATTATGTTATTACAAATAGATAAGGATGGATGTTTATCTCACTTTTTTTTTAGCATGTAGCTGTTACATTTCAATTGAACTTAGTTAGGAGAGCCAACTCCATGGTTTTCTTAAGTGGAAGAGAGTGGAGTTTATTATCCATTAAACCTAAGGAAATAGGAAAATGCAACACTAAACACATAAATGCAGGTAATAGATTTAAAAAATGTGAGAGGGAGGTGTCTGTGCAGACAGAAGGGTAAAGGCAGTTGCAGTTAAGTGTTTAATGTCCTTGAGCTGAGAGTGAAACCTAAGTCCCAGCTGCATAGCTGTTGTCCTGTTTTCTTAGGACTGACAAAGCTTGCAGATTTGATTTCTTAGTGAATAGTGATTTTTCTAAGTTGCTTTTCATCGGCCCTAATTTCTGAGGTTGAGAGAGAGAGCAGCTTTTAGTATCCTTGCTGTTATCAGTTCATGTTGCTTTCCTGTTGTTGATATACCTGCTCCTTTGCAGATTCAGGTTTCTGTGTCACTGTTATGCTGGGTAGTTGTAGGCAGCTTTTCATCTCTCAATATGTGCAGTTATTCAACCAAGTGTGAGTAAAACGAGAGATATGACTTTTATGATGCCTCACTGAGTTTCTCTGTCTCTTAATTACAACTGTAATGCCAGTGTGGCTCATTTTATGTATTCCATGTGAGTTGCCTGGGTTTGTCAGGTGATCAAAGCAGCCAATTAAATGTGTAATCTTTTACAACCATTTTAGTCTGAGAGTCTCGGTATTGAAAGTTAAATAGTGAAAGTTGAATGTTGATAATCCATTTTCACTGTTATTGACAGTTCCTACAAGCCACAACATACCGTTCCAACTTCTGGCTTAAAAGTGATGGAGTGACAGAATGGAAAATGATTAATTACATTTCCATTTTCCTACTGTTCCAACTTCCTATCTCCAGGTGTTAAACCTGAGCATTCTGGTTGCTATCAGGCCCCACTGTAATTTTAAAATTATAACTTGTTTAAAGATATCACTAATGAACATTTTAAGTTTAAATGGTATAAAAATACAGACTGTAACATAGCTTGTTGTTTGTTGTCTAAAAGATGTCATATGAATCTTGCAATAGCAGAAACACTGTTACAAAACTGTCATACAATAGATTAGATGATGTCAGATCAAAGCCAAAGTGCCAACTAATCCAGATAATCTAGATTTAGTTCAGCAAAAGAATTGAGCACTTAATTCTACAGTCACAAGGGCTGAATGTTTAATAAGGTTGTGGTTGTACTGTACCTATCAGTACATAAATTTTCATCTTGTCGGAAGGTAAATAGTGTAAATATGAGGAATAGAGTTCTTGTAGGATAGTACACAATGTATATTTAGGGAATAGCGTTCCATAGGAAAAAAACATTTTAAATATCTAACATAGCGTAATAGCATATTCTATAAAAATGACAGGATAATATTAATCACTAGCCCAGATATTCCATTGTTTCATGGAATGAACTTGGGGTGTTTAGCTGGATATTTGTGCACTCCCTGTATTTCTGCCCCTCTATGAATGTGATTGTTCTTCTATTGAGAAAGCATGCAATTCTCCACTCTGTACTGGTGTTAACTTGGAGACACATCTTTTCAAAAGAGCAGCCGAGACCCTGACAGATAACCCAAGTGCTCTGCGTGCTATTATGGCCTCACTAAGAACACATTTAAGAACAATTGATACAAGAGGGATGGATTTTCGTTTGGATTTCGTGCCAAGCATAAAATATTTAATCAGAAAATCTTTTAAATCCTTGTACTTCCTGGCCAAAACAGTGTGTTAACCCTGTCATGAATCCATTCATGACATTCCATCACTTCAGGTGAGTGGTCACTTTTTTAGTGCTACCAGGAACATAAGCAACCACACTCTAATGACTCCACCTCCAGGATTTGGGTAGGTTGATAGTGGGATTAAAAACAGTGAAAAGTTGTGGCTGATGCAGTCCTGCACTGTCAGAATTCATGCTGTTGTGTATTTATAATGAAGATTAACATGCTCTCTATGCACATTGTATGAGCACATTCCAATCTATATTTTGTCTCTCATGAAAAGATCAGGTAAAAGATGGGAATTGTGTTTTTCAGTATCTAACAGGGCTTTCATCATTTTAAATATTGTACCTTGACTCATGTTTTCTCAACCAAAGTTACTGGGATTTATGTTTCAATTTTTGGCAGTAAGAGTTCTGACAACACTTTCCCAAAGATTGGGTTCCATGCAACATGTAATTGTATTCAATCAAATTATGCAATACTATCCAACACAGATGTCATCGTTAACTAATCATGTAAGCAGTATAATTCCTAATTCAGAAATGTTGTCTTTGCAATTATACATACAAAGCTGGGAGGTAACCAAAATAAGGTGGTTTCAAATTGTTTCTCCCAGATTTGAGAACAATTTAGTTATACAGCAATTTATCATACATTGGCTTTTTTGATGGTTTATGTGTAATAGTTAGGAAATGGCTAAGGGAGTAGATTGCTATTTATTCTGTATTATACAAAACAATGAGTTGATGCACACTGTCAATATTCACAATAAATGGTTTTACAAAATACTCTTGTTTTTGTGCACTTTCAAGCCTGTAATCATCTATACATCAATGTGGGGCCCATATGTACAATGGAAGTGTGCTTTGAATGTCCAGACTTAACACAATAAACAGCAGATATCAAACTTTGGTTTTGCAAGTGGATATCACACTGCTTGCCTGGAATAAGCTTAACGCTGTGTGAAATAAAGTGAGTAACCTATTCTTGCTGAATTGTCAACCCAAAATTCACCCCATCACTAAACATTGCATTTTCTGTAACACCATCCACCTCTGTTTCGTGTGCTGTTGGAATTTTTAACTATGCCTTTGTCATCTCCAAAATTCACTATTCAAATGCTATCTTGGCTGGATTCTGTCATCAGTCCTCTGTAAACCAGTTCATTTAAATCTCTACTGCTTGTATCCTAAATCTCACTCAGTTCTGCTCATTAATGATTTCTGTCCTCACTGCCGTAAAAGGTTGCCAGCCCTCCCAGAATGTCTGGAAAGGGTCTACTGGATATGCCCTCAATCTCCTAGTGTTTATTAAAAGCAATCTGGGGGATTTTTAAATGATATTTCAAATAAATAATGCTCATAATTCATTCAATCTCTGGTCAGTCATTATTTATTGAAAACAATAATTTGCAGTGTGGTGGCATAAGATATAAACTGATGTGAATGCGCACTGTGCTCCTGAGCGTCACTGTGTAATCTATTTTTCTAATGGCTGAGTCTTGCCCATGAGGGAGGAAGTGGTAAATTTAAGCAACAGTGAACATTGTGTTAAACATACAGTAACTCGGTGCTAGCATCTGGATATGGGAACATTTCACTTATTTCAGGATTTGTTTCTTTTCCTGAATCTATACTCAGCACTACTGACTGATCTTGCCCCCCTTCTCTGCTGCAATTTCCCCACAGCTGGGTTTCTAAATTAATCGTTCATTCTTACTGCCAGTTTGAATCTGGTGCATGTGCTTCTTCCCTTCTGTTGCCATTATTTTCTTTGTTTAAACTGCTTCTAGTTCTCCAAATTGGAATATACTCACATCTACATTGTGCCTGATGGCTAACACTGAAAGACCAGTCTTCCCCTGTTGTTCCCAGCTGCTCTTGCTTTGTTTCTGGGATACACTCTGTTCAAGGTCTCTCAGGATCAACATTGCAAAGCTAGCTGCTCTTTATGTTGTGGCCTCCTCTACACTGGGGAAACCAAGTAGAGGCTTGGGGACCGCTTTGCGGAACACCTACGTTCGGTTCGCAACAAACATCTGCACCTGCCAGTTGTGAACCATTTCAACTCCCCCTCCCACTCCTTAGATGACATGTCCATCCTGGGCCTCCTGCAGTGCCACAACGATGCCACCCGAAGGTTGCAGGAACAGCGCCTCATATTTCGCTTGGGAACCCTGCAGCCCAATGGTATCAATGTGGACTTCACAAGCTTCAAAATCTCCCCTCCCCCATCCGCATCCCAAAACCAGCCCAGCTTGTCCCCGCCTCCCTAACCTGTTCTTCCTCCCACCCATCCCCTCCTCCCACCTCAAGCCCCACCCCCATCTCCTACCTACTAACCTCATCGCTCCCCCTTGACCTGTCCGTCCTCCCTGGACTGACCTATCCCCTCCCTACCTCCCCACCTACACTCACCTTTACTGGCTCCACCCCCGCGTCTTTGACCTGTCTGTCTCCTCTCCACCTGTCTTCTCCTTTATCCGCCTCCCCCTCTCTCCCTATTTATTTCAGAACCCCCTTCCCCTCCCCCATTTCTGAAGAAGGGTCTCAGCCCGAAATGTTAGCCTTCCTGCTCCTCTGATGCTGCTTGGCCTGCTGTGTTCATCCAACCCTGCACCTTGTTATCTCAGATTCTCCAGCATCTGCAGTTCTGACTATCTCTGCTCTTTATGTTCAGTTGTGAAAGCTGGCAGTTGAATTTCAATAGGTCGCGAATTCATTCAGATGACCTATGCTTATTGCCAAGCAGAACTTCTAAAAAGCCACATAAGTTTACAGATCATCAGCCAGGCCAAATTTTATTCCTGGTTTCTTATCATTGTTATATGTTTCCTTAAGTTTATTTCACCGTTTCCGTGTGCTCTTTTGATCGTTCTTTCTCGATGGCTAAATTAAACTTAAAAAAAAATCGTCTCATCCAAGTTAATCCTTTGAGATTCAGAACCTTCCCCTCCTGGGGTTTCTGAGTTTTAACCAGGTATCTGCACTGTACAATGCTACATATATGAAGATGACCATAGATAATTCACGACTGGACACCCGCAAATACATTCAAAAACACCAAATTGTATGACGTGCTATTGTATAATGCAGTTGCATTGCTGCCTGTGAGTTGGACAGTTTTGGTGTTTCTCCTTCGGGATTAAGACTCACTTCTAAAACTAGGTGTCGGCAATGGGTTGTGTGAATCAATGAGTTAGGTTTTATTAATTATTTTTATAACTGCATGTATTTTTATGAAAATCCCAGTGGGAAGTTATTTATATTGCCACTTATTTTGTTAAATCATTAGAGTTTATTTTGTATTTCTCATTGCAGTTGATACTATGGAAATATCACAGAAGTAATATTTATTTAAATAATATTTGCCTTTGAATTTTTTTGTCCTTCCTTTAGAGTACAAATGATTTCATTCATCTCACTACAAAACAAAATGCTCAGTATATTAGTTGGGCATTGATGATATTATGATACTCCACTGAGATAAATGTGCTGACATTTGCAAATAGGCGACACACATCCTATGATCTAACATCATGTGATTAAGTATCTCAGCAAGTGATGTCACTTGATTGAATGTCATCTTTTCAAATGACACCTGACTAGATTCCCACAAATGGCAAACCAAAGTTGACAGCCTGCCAATTGAGATTGATTGAACACGTCAAATTTGAAATGGCCATTCTTTTTAAATCACTGTGTTCTCACCCTTCATTATTTTTGCAATGTCTGCAGATATTAAAACTTCACCATTTCTATTTTTCTGACTCTAGGTATCCTTCTTGCTTTGATTCATTATTAGCAGTCATGTCTTTGGCAGGCGAGGCCCCGTGCCTTAGAATTCCTACAGGTCTTTTCTGCCTCTCAAATTACCTGTTTGACCAAACCACTAATTAGGTCTGTAGCTAAGCCAAGGAGTCATACGTTTAGAAGAGG